GTGGCTCAGCCAATCAGAATCAAGGACCGGAACTATCCGTTTTATAAAATATAATAATACTAATAATAATAAATACTGTTTTGTTCAAAAGATGCAAATGCTTGTAGGTTCATGTACAACTTTCTGTAAAAATTATTTCCTCAAAAAAACATCCGACCACTTTGACAAACCAATCGGAAACTGCTGGTATTTTACCCTTTTTTTAGGGGCAATTTGCAATGTCTGTGTAGAATTTTGCTGAAATTACACTGGGTGTAATGTGAAGTTATTAGTGTTTCTCGCTAAAGTGGACATCTGATTTGAAGCTTTATCTCTTAACAGGAAGTAAACCTGAAGCTCCAGTCAGGTCAAAGTTCCACTGTTTGTTTGTTCATTAAACAGACATGAGGTTGAGAACAGTTAAGTCTTGCAATGCCTCCTTTTATTCAAGATTTTCTCTTGTATTACAACTAGTATCTCCACAGTCGATCTTTAATCGCAGCAGGTCATATTTGCACGAGTTTTGCACACTTAAAGACTATTTTTTCCCCTTATTTGCTCTGCCAAATGAGATGTAGTGTTGTTGAACAGCACTTTACAGGTCTTGCCACCTCAGCCACACTGTTGCCCAGGCTTGCATCTGTTTTGCATCTACCTCAATGCGTTGCATACAAAACACAACATTTCTTCTAGTATGTTTGTTTTGTGAAATGGTCTCAAGCAGGTGATTTCATACAAACACTTTCCTAAAGATACTAGTGTCTTTAAAGATCTACAAAGATTGGTGTGTTTGCAAACTACTGATCAATGAACTCAACACTAAATTTAGGTTTGATGAATTTCAAGTTATGCATACTTCATTTCATTTTGACAAACTATAGAATCACTTCTATAATAGTGAGAAACTCCTACTATAATAATAATAATAATCATTTTCATTCATTTAAATCGATTCTGTTTCCAAGGAACTGTTTACTGATGTGAATATTGGGATACATCGCTTGTGACAACTTACCCCGGTCTCCCCTATAGCGAATGTCTGTAAATCTCTCCACGGCAACCGAGTCTTGTTTTCCGTTCATCACTTTCGGTTCTGACTCAGAGAAACCGGCTGACGGTCCGCCCACAGCCGCGAGAAACGAAACTAAACCGGTAGCTATTTAAAGCCACCGAGGAGAAGAAAGTCTCACTATTACTGAAGACACCATAACCAGGTGAGTGCTGAAGATCATATGAAATAAGAATCGCTTTGTTTACACTATTATTTATATTTTATATCTGGTGTCATTTGCTGCTGGTGGTTTTACTCGTCTCAAATAGAAACAGTTGTGTGTTTGTTTTTTTTAAACCATTTAATTTTTGTAATTTAATTTTTTAAATATTTTTTAAAAGCGAGAACGCGAATAATATTCTCATTTCACAATATATATTGTAACGGTACAATAAAGCATTTAGAAAAAAATAATATAAAAACATGTTTAATCGTGAATGTTACATACGCACACACACACACACACACACACACACACACATATATATATATATATATAGCTATACATACATACACACAAACACACACATATAGGCTATATACATATATATAGTGTGTGTGTGTCCATATCATGCTGTCTAGTCTGTGTTGATAACTACACTGTGATTTAACTGAAATTTCACAGTGGCATATCAATAATTCAATAATGTGTCCGGTTCAGATATCAGCTCAATTTGACCAAGCAGACTAATCATATATGAATGTAGGTTCATTGACAATATTTACTTTTCTGAGATAAAGGAAGGATTTTGAAGTTACAGGCTTTTTATGAAAGTTTGTTTGCATGTATGCAACGTTTGAAGAACTGCACTTACTTACTCTTTTGCAAATGTTAAAGATGATTCAAGAAATGTACCAAAGTGACTGAGAAAAACTAAAATGTATTAAGTCATTGCATTAGATCCAGGGTTTCAACCAGATAGATGTCCACCTAGAGGGGAGTAAAGATATATCCGTTATCTACAGAGAGGAATTATTTTCTATTATTTGTGTTTACTGTATTGGTATAATCGCTCTGCAGATATATTAGAATGGTCAATCCAAGAGGAGGAGGACAGCACAGAGGAAGAGGAGGCTTCAGTGCCCCTCAAAGAAGAGGTATAGGTTTTTACTTCTTTACATTGCCTTATTTAACTTGGTCACTCAGTATGCATTCTTATTACTTATACACCACAATATCTATTTTTTCAACAGATGGATCTGTGCCTGGTCAAAGACAAGCAAGCAGGTCTCCCAGTCGAAGCAGAGGAAGCAGCAGAGGTGGCCGAGGGGAGGGAGGAGGAGGAAGAGGAAGAGGAGGAGAAGGAAGGGGTCGAGGTCACCAACAAGCCAGTGGAAGTACAAACAGCCAAAGGGAACGACGGCCAGATGAAAAAGTTCAAGGTGCAAGAGGAGGTGGAGGAGGAGATGGAAGGGGACGAGGACAGAGGAGAGGAGATAACCAGCACCATCATCAAGGAAAGCCAAGCGGGAACAACACCCACTGCCCTGTGATAAGAGGAGGCCTAACTAATGCATCTTTACACTCTCGAGGGTTTGGGAGACCTGTTCAAGGGCTCATGCATCAACATTATGTAAATTATTTACTTCCAGCTCCTCACCGTCCTGAAAACACGGGTCACCAACAAGCCAGTGGAAGTATGACTGATGGAAGAGTTGGACCACAAGGTGAAGAACCTCAAAGAGGAAGAGTAGAAGCTCAAAGAGGTAGAGGGGGAAATGGGAGAGGAAGAGGGAGAGACGGCACCCCTGAAGTACGCAAACTGGGGTATAAAACTCTTGAAGGCCTGCTGGAGAAAGAAGCATCCGAAGTGGCCATCACCCTTTCATATAGCACTGGGCTCAAGAATCTGCTTGACGACAATACGATGAGAAGCGACCTGGTGCAGCTGGTTTGTCAAGTTCTCTGCAAGGCCTTCGAGTCTCGAATTGATCGCAAGATCGTGCTGCACTTGGCTGCCATCGTCAAGGACTCTCCGTTTTTCCGTAACGGTCTGCCGTATCATGTGACTGGAATGATGTCGGATTACGAGCAAGCTCGAAGGGAGCAGTATCCCCAACATTTGAGCAACATCATCAGCCTTCTCTCTGAAGTTCTTAACATGTTTCCGCACAGCTCTATCCAGTCAGTTTCCATGTTGGTGGCTCTTTTGAAACTGACCGTCAACCAGTTGCGTGCCTCTGGTGTGGATATTCTCGACAATACTGATGAAGACTTAGAGAGGGTGCAGGGTTTGGTGGACCATATCCAGGAAAAATCAAGGGAAGGCACCTTGCGATCAGATAACTACTCCTTCCTGGCAGCAGATGAGGATGCCCCACCTGGGGAAGAAGACTTCAGGACGATGAGCATCTATCCAACAATTGAGGAGTTCCACCTAGACCAGAAGCCATTCCTGAGACCCAACATAATGTCTCAAAGCTTCCCTAACACTCGCATCTATCTAGACACACACTTCCGACTTCTGCGTGAAGATTTCGTGAGGCCGCTGAGAGATGGAGTCAGGGAGCTCCTGAGCATCCTGCACAGTGAGACTATCGATGGAATACCAATGAAAAAGAGGCATTTCGATGACATCAGAGTCTACTATGACACCCGATTGATTTTGCCACTCTGCACACCAACGGGAATTGCCTACAAAGTGCAGTTTAACTCACGGCTTCTTGAGGTAATCACAAACTACAAGTTGTCCGAGAGAACTCCATGTACTCTATAGCTCCCAAACATGTCCTCCTACTAGGGATGCACAATTTGGATGGATTTTTGCTGATATTTTTCTACTCATTTTGGCCGATAACCGATGGCGATACCGATATATTTCCTTTTGTTCTGAAACAACACCAAGTCTCTTCTGTGCAGAGATAATAAACAAATTATTTTTTTATTATATATTACACATTAATCAATAAATCTGTAAAAATATAAGAGTATTTCACTTATATGCAAGTTATTATTCTTATCGGCAAGGCA